GGGAAAGGTATGTATCCTCCCCTTCTTCCCCCCCAGCTATGTATAAGTAGCAGGACAGTCCGGGTTCTATAGACTTGGATGGTAACTGGTCTACCGCAGAAAGAAATGGTAATCTACTGCAGGGAAAAATCTGCCTCCTCAGTCATGTATTGATAGATACATGATCGCCTAAGCGTGTATCACTTATGGCCCACAACTGACTGAAGAAATGTGTAACGGCAACGTGTAATGATACATAATTTAATTTTTTTTGGTATTCTTTCATTCAACAATACAGGATTTTTGTTTATAGTTACTTTTGCTGAATATAAATGGCTTCAATTATCATTCGTCCTAGCTGCTTATTCAAAGTCCGTGTGATAATCGTATATTAAGTAAAAATAAAATAAATCCATTCATAACTCGGTTTCAGACTGAAAAGCATGCTCCAGAATAAACATTCTCAAGTAGATTTTTCTCGATACAAGACTAAAAGCCGTGTTTATGGCTTCAAAACAACTAAAATAGCCTTAACCGGATCATTGAGAGACGAATAACAATAAATATGCACTCATTTTCAGAGTGCAACGGACAATGTTTATGTCTCGTTAGTAAAAAGTGGTTAGTTTGATCCTTACACGGTGATCAATAAAGATGCCCTTGGTCGAGACGAGAATAATAAGTGTCAGGAAAAATCAAATAAATATTCATTAATAAATACATCTATCTATCTATCTATCTATCTATCTATCTATCTATCTATCTCTACACACACACACACATATATATATATATATATATATATATATATATATATGTGTGTGTGTGTGTGTGTGTAAGAGTACAAATTATCTAAATGGTTTCGAGAATTATATAGTTGTAGTGATTTAGATATATCTTCAGTGGGTAGGTAACGTGTACAGAATAAATGGCGACCAGAAAAATTATTATAATGGAAGGTATATCAGAGTTTAAGATATTTAAAAAAAAATAATGACGCAAAACCATGTTTGAGGAGAAGAGAAAGAACCGTAAAATGAGTTACAGTAAAAATTAATTATCGCACATTTTAAACTTTTCCCTTATAAGCCACCAGATGATAAACACTAGTAGTAGAATATCGCGGAGATTTCGTTTTGCAAAATTAAGCGAGTTGGCTGGCGAAGTCAGTTGTTGTAAAAAACGATTCATTTACTACCGTTCACTAACTGTTGCACAAAACATGTAAACTCTTACCGTAAAAACAGCAACTTCAAGCTGAAGTTACTTTGAAGTATTTTTAAGTTTTTGCCGGTAAGACTTTATTTCTTTTTTTTTTTACTTTTTTCGCGACAGACAAAAATCATAAAATTAACATAACATCTAATTTGTTTACTATAACAAACTTGATTGATATTCTATCGTTCCTTTTACCTTATTTCTTTTGTCGTACATGTGACAATAAGTATATAGGTTTGTAATTAAGATACTCCTCTCTACAAGTGGCAAAAATAAATCTATTTTATAAAGGAAGACTTGATTTTCTGTTCGCCATTCGGAGTGCGTGTGGCTTTGCATTCACGTATGTAATGTATATGCTGATGTCAGTATGGTGCGTGTTTGAGTTTTATGCGCATGCGCTGTTTCATTTATACGCAAACACGCATAGTTCGGCTGAGTTTGAAATAAGACATTGAAATTAAATATTACCTGTTATTCAGTCACGGAACCCTGGAATGGACAACACGGAACCCTGCTTGAGTAATAATATTGTAAAAATAATGTCTGAGACAAGAAAGACAAAAGATAAGAAAACATCAGATAATCATCAGATTTTATTAAACGTCTTGCAAATTATTCGGTAATAACAAAATTAAAATGAAGTTTCTTTTTTTAAATTTTGTAGAAATACCTTTAGGCTTCCCTCTGAATTAAGATATTAATTTGACACTAGTACATATACAAACAATCTGAATGAAATTGGATTACGTATCTGTATTGCGAGGGCTATTTTCCTTTTCTGTTTTCTAACAAACATGGAAAGGAGTATAAGCGTAGGTTAGATATGGCATAAGGCCGGACGTGTGGAACAACGAGTGAGGATTAAGTAGTAATTAATCCAGAAGAACAAGCAACACGCTTGCTAATAATTACACCACGTCAAAAATAGGAGTATACGCTGAAATGCAGAGCTCATTTGAAGAACTTTTATGCTTCTTCATTTATTTAAACAGAATTTATTTTCTAATAAATGTAATAATCTAAATAATGTTTGCAATTAAAATTTGACTACAATGAAAACGACGAAATAAATAAATTAATTAATAGTAAGTAAATAAAATTAAGAATTGAAAATTCATGTTTTAATAAGTATAGATCATTCTTTTAAAAGTTTAAATATTGACATGACTGATTATATATTATATTACAATATTGACCCCTTTTAAGATTTTAACATTTCATGATGCAACTTCTTACTTTGCTAATTAATAGCAGTTAGGAAATGTTAGTTTCTGATATAAATATTCAGGTATTTTAAAATCTAAGATCAAAATGAAAGATTTCCATTAATGGATAATGTATGATATTATGGTAGGAACTTTTGATCACAACTTTTATTTTCACTGTTCTTGCTCGTGCCTTAGAAAGCTATTTCATATATAGTGAAATGTATATGGTACGATCATTTTGATGCTGGCTTTTAAAATGATTTTCTTAATTAAAAAAAATCCATAAAAATGTATAAAAATAATATTTTTTGTAATATAAGTTTTTTTTTTTAAAGAAAAGTAGTTTTATATCTTACAAAAATATTTCAATCGAAAGTAAAAAAACAAAAGTCTTTTCAATGGATTTTTAGAACTTTTTTGCCGATCAAGACTAAATATATTTTAATCGATAACCTCGCAGAAAATAAACACAGATATTTTCTAGAGTATTTGAAGATAAGAGGATAACGAAACCTATTGATATTTCTTTGTATTGCTATAATCGATTAAAGTAAGAATACTACGACATCCTCACTTATGAAAATGTTTCTTTCTAATGTTTATCGGATCCGGTTACCCAGAGCACGGTGCTATAAGCATGGGTGTGTGGGTGGTTGAATGAATAATGGCTGTTTTTTTACGTACGGTAGCTGTTAATAAATTAAGTATAACTCAACACTTCAATGTTAAGATAAAACAGCATTTAATTACAACCGCAAATAAATACTTTAAAACAACAAAGGAGTAAAAGTCAACCAAAGATAATCAACCATTTCAGTGAATACCTTGTTAGTAGCTCAGCTCGTCTTAACGTCCAGTAAATCCTAAATCAAAACCCAAAGCATCGACGCACAATAATTCACACTAATTCGACTGGATAGTTCCACGCAATAACCACTCAATAATCACTGCAGTCAATTGCCTGACACCGCTATTTATACACCTGGCGGAAAACATATATTCATAAGTCCAGATTGTTACGATCGAACCTCAGTGTCGGTAGTTATTAATTTTCTTCCTTTATATGAGCTTGAAATTGTTAATCGGAGAGCCTTTTCCAATTCCCGCTGGGTCCGTCATATTCAGCTACATGCAAATACACCCAGGAAAAGTATGAATCCTACTCTTTTATCCCCATCTATGGGTTAATAAGTAAGACTTAAATCACTAAAATATTATTATATTAGAATTTAAAAATATTTTCTGGCTTTAAAGGTTTCATAAGCCGTAGGAAATGAATCAAGCAAGCAGCCATAGCCCAGTTTCAAAATTAATTTCGTCATCTTCTCCACGCCGCGTCTTTTTAGGACCTGGGCGATCATGTCTCTCCAAAAGTCGGTATTCATGTCGACCTTAGCAGTATTTTTCTATTTGTTAAGGCCCCCGATCCTCTTTCCCTCACTATTCACATAAACTCGTCAGGCCGGGGTCTCACTCTCTCCTCCCTATCTCTCTTGCCCTGTAAGCGTTTTGCTTTCTATGTCGTCCTTCCTCATTATGCGTCCAACAAATTACAAATGACTCTTAGTCTGATTATAAGTGTTCTTTTTGTTAGCATTTTCTGGAAGACTTTTACGTTGTTTACTCGTTCTATCTATAGAATTCTCATTATCTTTCTGTAGGAATAAATATATGTTGCCTCCGCTTTTCTCTTCATCTGCAGAAAGATCGTCCAGCAATCACTTGCATATAAGACAATAGATATTACATAGTAAACCAGCTCTCATTTATTTGTGTCTAATGATTTTCTTCAGTATTTTCTCCACCTGTTTGATAAATCTGAACATTGAAAAACTAATTTAAAAGCAGCTCTTCAATAATTATATCATTCCATATACTTCTTCTTCTTTTGTATGACCTTAAAGGATGTGGGCGATTATAGCTCTCCATAAGTTCCTGTATTTTTAGCCATTTAAATTACAGCCTTCACTTTGTTCCGCTATCCATTCACTCAATGTTATAAGTAGTTAAGATTTTCCAAGCGTAGCTTAGATGTGGCACAAGGCCGAAAGTATCGGGCACCCAGTGAGGCTCGAACTCACTTTTCAGTAGTAACTGATATAGGAAGACAAGCTTGCTAACCATTACACCAAACCGAGGTGCCCCTATTGATTTTCTAAACGAGGCTTAGATGTGGCACATGGCCGAATGTATGGGGCACCCAGTGAGGATCGAACTCACTATTCAGTTGTAACAGTTTTAGCAAGAACTAATGCTAACCATTACACCACGCCGAGGATCCCCAATGCTATAAGTAGTTTAGTCGATGTTATTCCTGATTCTCTTCCTTTTAAAATTAACATCGTGTAAAGTTTACAATCATTTTAATATATTTTAACGTCAGGATTTTATTGCAAGGAAAATATTTAGAATATTTTTTTGTAAAACTGGAGAAAACAAATATATTTTTAATTCTTGAATTTGTGTATTTGTTTTAAATATTCTTGCTTATTAAATGAAACTTATTAAACAATATTTTTAAATTGTTTTTTTCTCAGTACATAAGCAATTTTAGCTCTCCACAAATTCATTTTCTTTATTATCTCTCAGTTTTATGGCCATATCACTTTGAAACACCGGCTCGCTTACGATCACCGAAGTTAAGCAACATCGAGCCTGATCAATAACTAGATGATTGACCGCTTGGGAATACCAGTTGCTGTCAGCTCTGATGTGCGGCTGGTCTAATGGATAATGGTCCGGAATTGGAGCTGAGTTTCTCTTTCAATCTTGTTCGTTGTATTTCCATAGGCGCAAATACCCTTGGTGAAGGTAAGAATCAATCTCTTCTCCCAGCTATGGTTTAATTAGTAGGATTTGTATCAGTAAATCAAAAAGTCTAAAATTATTTTCTGGCTTTAAATAACCTGCAAAACGTTGATATGCCGTAAAAATCATTTAATAGTTGTTCAAGGGAAAGCGATTCATTTAGACTACAATTGTCAGGGCAAAAGTCACCTGATGGAGTTTAGTAGCAGGTTTTCACAGACAAGATATCCGGACGGAGCCGATCTCTTCAGGCTAGTTTTGAATTTAGAATATTCCTTCTTGTACGATGGTTGCATCTTTATGGCAAGAAAGCAGAGTGTGCTCATTTATTTAACGCACAGTTAAAGGAAGATTTATTCCAACTTTTTCCAAGGGTGCGAGGATAATGAAACAGAATCAAGCGGGAATTTCCATTCCGAATACTGTTGCAATATCCGCGCCACTGAATTTTATACCCAAAGTTTGAATATAGAAGGTAGGTTATCAGTTTCATTTGCTTCAGAATCATTCTCTTGAAAGGGCATAAATCCGTCCTTCTCCGGTTAACAGCTTAAAAGCATAACAGACTGGCTGACAATCACACTGGAAGAAAAACGCTGAATTGAAACCCAAGTGTCTTTAGGTATCTTCGGGAGAAGCGAAGACTAATGGGTTATCACTAAACCATGTGGATCCCCTAAAGTGATTTGTTAGCTTCCGGTAAGTCCACTGAGTATCACGGCATACTATCGTCGAAGATTTCACCCAACACCATAACGCTCTGTGCTAAACAATTGTCTCTAGAGATGAACGGATGAAAGCACAACGCAACAGTACACGGAGATAAAATTTATTTACTAAAATGAAATAAGGAACGTATCATCATTATTTATTACCTTACTTTGCTTTATCCTTTATAGGTTTCCTATTCCTACGTTTTCTCGATTTTCAAGCGGAAGGACAGGCTTTGTTTTTCTTCCTGCATTTCTTTCGTCTACATTCCGTCTACTTCCGTCTACCTTGTTTTTGTCTTCATCTCTTCCCCGACTTTCGTTGCCATCACCTTCTCTTTCTTTCATCCGTCTTCACATGTTCTATGTCTATTATCCGTCTCCATTCATTCTATACCAATTTTCGATTCCAGCCCTTCCACATCACTCTTTCTTTACATCACGTCGACGTCCTTTCTATGTTATGCTTTCGATTCAAATCCTCTTACGTCATCTATTCAATTCCATTCATTTGACGTCATCCTTTTGATTGTATCCCATCTGCGTCATTCTTTTGGCTCTCATTCTTTCTCCTCCATCACTTCTTCATCCTCTCTCTTTCTCTCACTCTAGAGAGCGATAGATAGATAGATAGATAGATAGAGAGAGATACTTGCACCTATGAAGATGATCTTGAGAGAATATCGAAAGTACTTGGGAAATGATAATAAAAGAAATTTAAACAGCTATAGCACATTTCTCTCATCCTGTAGCATCAATACACGGATGGTTATTCGTGTGTATGAACGGAATTTATTAAAAATTAGCAGACATAATTTCTGTAATTTATTCAATCAGACATGTCAGAAAGAGAATTTGCTGCCTACATACACCAATTTTAAAACATATATATATATTTTAAATATATATATATATATATATTACATTAGGCAGCATATATTTTATATATAAAGAAATAATCATACATAGAATCAATCAGCAATATTAATGCGATTAATGGCGAAATCACTTCGCTTGGAGAAACATGTATGCGTTAAAATCCTGTTAATCCATTGAATGATGTGGTCCTCATTTATAAAACTGTTGTCAGATGTTTCCTGTGTATATTTTTTTAAAGTTAAGCAAGTACTTTCGAAGAATAATTCCTTCATCGTCAGGCTGTAGTTTTTTCCTTTAAAGTTAAAACTTGAAGACGAAATAATTTAATTTAGTACATGCCACCTTGGCTGGTAAAACACTTACAACAACAAAATTCTTGGAATTACCATATTCATAAATTCAAAAAACACTCTCACTTAAATATTCGAAATTCAACCTTAGCGTTGCGACAACACGCTCCACAAATTTTTATCTGTTAATAATAACACACTTCAAAAAACATATATCGATTTGCATTACATTTATTCTTGTCTCGGATGTTACCTGAATTTAACTAAAAAGAAAAATAATATCCATGCCCAATGTGTATAGGATGGCCTATCGAAATTACTAGCATATTTACAGAACATACGAAACATCTAAAAACAAGTATCTCATCATTCAACGAATGGTTAGTAGATTGATAATTTTAGATTTGTTAGCGAAGTGAATTCGCCTTTTATTACGTTAACCTTACTGATTTATTCTTTGTATGTCTGCTTCATTTTATATATATATATATATATATATATATATATATATATATATATATATATATATATATATATATTCATATATATATATATATATATATATATATATATATATATATATATATATATATATATATATATATATATATAAAGTGAACATAGAAGTCAACACTTAGAGGCAACAGTCTGTTTCATCCTAGATGCTATCGTCAGGCCAACGGTCGCCTGACGATTGGCATCTAGCATGAAACAATTTGTCGCCTCTAAGTGTTGAATTCTATGTTCACTTTTATATTTACACACGCTCTATCTCTGATATTGAGCACTTTATTGCATAAATACAGCATATCTTAAAACTATATTTCTTCATATGTATATATATATATATATATATATATATATATATATCATTTCAACTGTTTTTTCTCTTTTTTAAACTAGTCTCTGATGCTTCATACTCTCTTTTCAAATTGCATTTTCAATTTCCCGATTGAGAGTAATATTTTATCTACGTTTCTCGGGTGAGAAAATCCCTACCCTTATCTAAGCAGCAACATTATTGAAACACGTGCAGGGAAGAAAGAAAAAAAAATAGAAGGAAGGATGAAAGGAAGGAAATATTTTTTTTTAGTTTGGTTTGGTTTGCATATCAACCTTAATGAGTTAATTAATGCCGACAAGAATGGTTAGTTTCGTGCAAAAACAATTGCCGTTGCTGGTAACATTTTTTTTAAAAAGTATTGCTAGTAATTTTATTTTCAAAAATGTATTGCTCGTAATATTTTTTCCAACAATGTACTGCTGGTATTATTTGTAATATTTTTTTCCTTAGAAAATCTATTGCTGGTATTTTTCCCCAAATCTATAACTGGTAATATTTTTTTCCAAAAATATATTATTAGTATTAAAAGCTATTTTTACACTTTCATAGTGTTTTGATCCCGGTTTGGAGCTAACTGTTTATCCATAGCTGGGAGCCTAACAGGTGCTACGACCCAAAGTCATGGTAAAACTGGGAACACCAGTAATTAAGAATTGGTTCCACGCTCTTCAAACCCCACTGTTCAGACGCGGATGTAGCCTATCATTTTAATTAGGACGCGGAAAGAAAGAACGAAGGAAAGAAGGAATAAAAGAAGGAAAATAAAAAGTTCATGTTCGTCCAAACTGTCTCATTGCTTCCATGTGTGTAGTGATGTCAAATAAAATAAATAAAAAAAAAATCTAATAAGGTAAGGTGACTTTCATATTTTACAGATAATTATCTCCACTATTTACATTATTCGGACTATTGTCCTCATCTTTGTCGCCATATTTATTACAACGTTTCACCCGTTGTACACTCCGTCTTTTTCAGGTGGTAAGGATGTCGAACTGAACCCTTTATTTTGCTCACTGGGGTAGACTGTTCTAGTTCCACGTGCCATGTTTAATGGATGTCAGTTATCAGTTATCTCCTGTTAATTCTCACCTCCAAGTTCTCCACTGCCTTAACCGGGTATTGAACTCAAACTATTTGGATCGTGTCACTGGATCTAACCAACGCCTTTATTCACTCTGCCATATGTCCTTGATACATAGCACAGTGGATAACGATGAGGACAATAGTTCGAATAATGTAAATAGTGAACATAATCTCAGACATATAATTATCTCATTCTGATTTTCATCTATTTGTATCTATCATATATCGATATCCATATCTATTTTGTATACTTAGAAGCCTACATTAGACAGGATACAGATGGGTACAATGTGAACGCACAGGTTATTAATTACTAGCAGTAGAGCCCAGAGTTGCCCGGGGATGTAACAGTAAGAGATAGATCGAGTATCGACCATCATAAAGACTGAAAAATAAAATTGGCAAAGATTATTGTTTAAGGTTGACGGACACGCATGTCTTAATTAGTTTTTTTGTTTTTTTTACGAATTGGTCAAACCCAAACTCAAACAAAAACATTGTTTTCAATCGTTATGAGTCTACCGATTGAATAGAATTCTATTATAAACAATTGTCTTGTAAATGGAATTTTTAAAGCATTCTGAATGTAAAAATAAAGAAAAAAGTGTGCAAGACAATAAGAAACACTACCTCACAAAAAAAAGTGAAGTTTTGTTGAAATCGGTTGAAAAATGTAGGAAATCCGATCCAATATATAAACGTACACACACACACACACACACACACACACACACACACACACACACACACACACACACACACACACACACACACACAATCTGCGTTTTATAATAAGTAAGATCAGGAATTTAGTTTAAACTTTAAAAAAAATATTGGCCAGAAAATCAGTTCGAGTAGAAATGACAGCAGATGAATATTAGATAATTGGTAGAACTTATTCCCCGGCGTACAATTCATTATTTTTGAAAACTCCCCAAAACCAGATAATCATAAAATATTATTGAACTTTCTGGAATTATTCAGCAATAAATAAAATTATTTTTCAATTTGTTTACAAAAATGAATTACACATAAATAATTTAGGTCACTCATTGAATTAAAACATATCTGGCCACACATAAGGGAACATAAAAACGAAAAATCTATGCTGCTGTAGCTAATTTTTTTTTCTGCCTAGCAACAAATCCTAGAAACATGAAAATGTGCAGCTTGTTGGTAATTATTTTATGACTTCCCTATTTAAATTGAATATATTTTCTAATAAATAGAAAATGCTTAAATGGACAAACAATTTAGAGTTTAAATTTGATCATCCTGCCATCAGTTAAGAGGTTTCTGAACTTTTGATATAAATGTTTTTAACAATGATAATTCGTCTTCCGTGTGTCGTGCCAATTCAGAACGTTGGTCGTCATAAATCTCCATAACTTTCTGGACTATGTAGCTGATAGGATATTTTATCTTATTCATATCCTTCCTAACCCCTGTACTGTCAACCATTTAGAAAATCTCATTTGATAGTTGATTCGTTGCTTTCCTCTATCATTCTTCCTTTCAATATGTCCTATAAGTGTCAGCTTCTCAAAGTCATCTTTCCTCATTATGTATCCTAAAATTATCAAAGGTCTCTTTCTGATTCTAAATAGAAGCGTCTATTTGTTTTCATTTTTTTAAAGATCTTTGATATTATTAACGTGTTCGGTGTATCGTATTTGCAGTATCCTTCTGTAGAAGTATTTTTCAATTGCATTGGTTTTGTTCTTCATCTGTGAGGAGAATGATCAGCTTTCATTGGTATATAGGAGGACTGATCTTACGTAAATTCTATCACCTTTTTCTTTGTTTCTACCGAGATTTTCAAGTTTCTTAATACGTTGTTTCGGTTTTGGAAAGCATATTACGCTAATCCAATGCGCGTTCATATTTCGATGTCACTTTACCGTCCTGTTAAAAAAAAATATATATATATATATATATATATATATATATATATAAATGAAACTCTGTTTCTCCACAACTTTATTTTGAAAAGAAAATGTGGAAATAATGAATGAAGCTGGTTTACAACAAAACAAATATTCGATTCGGTGGAATATTCACAGTTTCACGTGAGCATGAGCGACTTTAGAAAAAGATTGGCATAGCAGGCTTTACTGACAGACCACACTTATCAAATTTACTTATCATTGCACGCAGGTGAGAAAGTTAGTTATTTACTGGTGGAATTGATGATGAATAGTTAAATACGATGATAGGTATGGTATGTTATCTGTATGTGTACTTGGAGATGAGGGTGGCGTGTACAGCTACGTCGCCATATGAATTTTCTCTTTCTCTCTGCCTGGGTCTATCTCAATCATTTTCGGTGTCACCTCTCACAATTTTGATAGGCATTTCCTGTAGCTAAAATGACTGGCACATTTCTTGACTGTTGTTATCTGAACGCAATATTATACCTCCCTATCTTCGGGGGACATTTACTGCAAAGAAAAATAGCAATCTAAGAACACCGATTTTTTTTAATCTCTTATCAGCGGGGATATATATATATATAT